TCTGGGACTCCACTTCCTTAGCAGTCAGATGAAGAGAAATTAGACAAAACCAAACCCCAAAAACCAAACCAGCTGCCATGGAGTTGATTCCAACTCACGCCAACCCCACGTGTGTCAGAGTAGAACTGTGCTCCGTAGGGTTTTCAATGGTTGATTTTTTAGAAGTAGCTCACCAGGAAGGGAGAGGGTTGACACGTCGTGGGGGTTGTTAACCAATGTCATAAAACAATATGTGCACTGACTGTTTAATGGGAAACTATTTGTTCTGAAAAACCTTCACCTAAAGTACAATAAAAAAAAAGAAAGAAAAAAAAAAGAAGTAGCTTGCCAGGCCTTTCTTCCAAGGTTCTCTTGAGTGGACTCAAACCACCAACCTTTCAGTCAGCAGCCAAGTGCTTAGCTGCACCACCCAGGGACTCCAGGGTGGTTTATACTTTTGTAAGAAGGACAAATTGAGAAAGCAATCTGGGCAGGCATATTTCATTCATTCATTCATTCAACAAATATTTTAGTATCATCCATCGCCAGACACTGCTCTGGGTGGTATGGAGAGCCGAGATCCCTGACCTTAAGGAGAAGTTCACAGTCTAGAGGGAGAAGATAGATAATAAACAAGTCAACAAATATATTAGCTTTAAACACACTCCAATCATTTACTTACTATCATATATAAGAAGTGCCAGATGCAAATAAAAAATTTAATCTCTTGCCCTTTAAACTGAATTAGTTATGCTAGGGGCCAGCAAACGTTTTTTGTAAAGAGCCAGGCAGTAAATATTTTAGACTTTGGGGATCATAGGGTCTCTCTCATTGCAGTGTGAAAGCAGTCACAGACAATACATAAACAAATGCAGTGGCTATGTTCTAATAAAACTTTATTTACAAAAACAGGCAGTTAGGTGGCTATGGTTTGCCAACCCGAGTTAGTCGAAAAAACAATAGAAACATGAATGGTGAAGGAGAATCACAGAACAACGAAGGAGTCCAGGAAAAAAAACAACTCAGCAATCTGTACTGGCTGGCTCATCAGCAGGTAGCACAGAACAGCAAAAACATGGAAGAAAACCAAACTGCCCCATTAAAGAGCAGTCAGACAAGCTAGGCTATGTCAACACAGAAGAAAAGGAAGTAACCATGAGGAGTGACAGATTACACAGAAACAGTGAAAATCAAACCTGCCAAGTGAAGGAAGGGCACAGCACAGGAAGAATGTGTTAGTTACGATATTTAACTGTGCATTCTTCGATCCTGGGCCACGGCGAAAGTGCTGGAGATGCTTGGAGATTTAGGGAATGAGGGATACGTTTTTGTGTCTGTCATTCTGCCTGAACAGATCTAAAACAGAATAGAGAGCAAATAGTTCAGAACTGAAAGGAACTGTAGGGACTATTGGTACGCTCTGTCATTCCCTAAAGTCATATACATTGTGAAATGCTTTTTTCTTTCTTCCCAACAAGAATGAAGGAGTGTTTTGCTGACTGCTCAATCCCCAGCACCTGGCCCAGGACGTGGAGACCGGGGACTTAAGGTACAGTGTTAGGTGTTCAAATATCTGCTGAATGAATGAAAGGGACAAGCCTTCTCAATTTGACAGATAAAGAACCAAATGAGAACCGACTGGGAGAATATCCTCGGAAACCATAGATCTGGCAAGAATCTAATAATCGAAATATATATAAAACTTCAACAACTTAACAACAAAAAGACAACCCAATTCACAAAATGGGCAAAGGACTTGAATAGACATTTCACCAGAGGACACTCAAATGGCCACCAAACACATGACAAGATGCTCGGCATCATTGGCCATCAGAGAGATGCAAATCAAAACCACAATGAGATACCATTTTACTGTCACAAGACAGGCTAAGATTAAAAACGTAAAAAAAACATAAAACAACAAAGGTTGGTGAGGATGTGGGGCAATTGGAACCCTTATCCTTTGCTGGTGGGAATGCAAAATGGTACAGCCACTGTGGAAAATGGTGTGGCAGTTCCTCAAAAAACTAAAAATAGAACTACCATATGACTCAGCAATTCCATTCAAACAGAGACTTGTACACCAATGTTCATTGCAGCACTACTCACAATAGGCAGAAGGTGGAAACAACCTAAATGCCCATCAGCAGATGAATGGATATACAAAATGTGGTACGTACATACAATACTACTCAGCCAGTAGCAGAAACGAAGTCTTGATACATGCTACAGTATGGATGGAGCTGGAAGACATTATGCTGAGTGAAATAAGTCAATCACAAAATGACAAATATTGTATGACCTCACTTATATAAAAAGACAATAAAAGGCAAATGTATAGAGAACAAAGTTTATTAGTGATTACCAAGGGGAGGAGGGAGGAGGAAAGTGGAGGTTAATGGTGATGGAAATATCACACTGATTAAGAGTAGGGTTGCACAAGCCATTACTGTAATTGCTGTCAATAAATTGCACACCTGTAAAAAGCTGAATTGGCAAAAGTTGTGTGATAGATACATTTACAATGATAACCAAAAAAAAGAGTAGCTGCCAAGGCTGCTTATACACAACCAAAAACCTTATGGAATTTGATTTCTTGGTTTGGAGGTTTAGGGTCATGGTTTCATGGGACAGCCCAGTTAATTGGCCTAATAATGTGTTCAGTGCTTCTGTTCTACCTCTTAGTTCATTGCATAGCATCTGGGTCTTAAAAGTTTGTGAGCAGCCATCCAAAGGCACAACAATTGGTCTCTATTCACCTGAAGCAACAGAGGATGACGGAGAGTCAGGAACAGAAGGAGGGTATAGAATGTGTGGCTAACTGCCTCCATGAACAACTGCCTCCTTTGCCATGAGACCATAGGAACTGGATGGTGCTCAGCTACCATTACTTAACATTTTGATGAGAGATTCTACAGAAGAATCCTGATCAAAAGGGGGAAAATGCAGAACAGAATTTCCAAGTATCATGGACTCCAGACTTCCTGGAGCCACGAAGGTTGCGTGAATCCCTGAAACTATTGCCCTGAGATAATCTTTAAACCTTAAACCAAAAATATCCCCTAAAGTCTTCTTAAGACCAAACAATAGTTTAACTTAACTTGTAAAAAATATCTGCCTTGAGCATTACTGTCGTTTAAGAACTATCTATATGGGATCTAAGTGACAACAGCAGCTTGAAAGATTAGGTAGGAACCTTAGGGGGCAGTGAGTTTATGTCAATAGGGGAAGAACAACTCAGAAAAGGAGGGTGAGAATGGTTGCACAGCTTGAAGAATGCAATCAATGTCACTAAATGGTACATGTAGAAACTGTGGAATTGGTGTATGTTTTGCTGTGTATATTCTCAAGAGCAACAGAAAAAAGAACCAAATAAGATAAAATAATGGAAGTAGTCTTGGAAGAAGTACAGCCAGAACGATCCTTAGAAGCAAAGATGTTTAGACTTCCTCTCACATACTTTGGACATGTTGTCAGGAGGGACCAGTCCCTGAAGGACATCATGCTTGGTAAAGTTGACAGTCAGTGAAAAAGGGGAAGACCCTCAAGGGATGGACTGACACAGTGGCTGCAACAATGGGCTCAACCATAACAATGATTATGCGGATGGCTCAGGACTGGGCAGTGTTTTGTTCTGTTGTACACAGGGTTGCTGAGTTGGAACTTTCTCGATGGCACTAACAACAACAATCCTACAGAAGCAGACTGCTACATCACTCTCCCACAGAGTGGCTGGTGGATTCAGACCGATGACCTTTTGATTAGCAGCTGAGTGCTTTAACCACTGCACCACCAGGGCTCCTTCCCTCCTGCACCCAGAGACTCACAAACCCATCCACTCTGTGTTGAGTCCCTGCACCGGGATATGTACAAGTGCCTACTTGCCATTTCTGCTTACTTGTCTCAAAACTCCCAGAACTCAACACACCCACAACTGGTCTCATGACCTGCTCCATAAACCTGGTCTGACTCCAGCGTCCCCACCTCCAGGAGTGGCCTTGCCATCATGCAGGTAGCTTCCTCCATCCCACATGCAGTCCATTCGCAGGTCCTGGGGGTTTACCTCAGCCCCTCTCCCACAGCTGCACCCACCTAACTGTACCTTCTACTTCTAATACCCATTCTCCCTACAGCAGAGCCATCTTTTAAAATTGCTATCTGATCCCATCACACACTGCACTACCTGTAGAAAACTCTTGAACCATTGCCTTAAGCGCAAAAATCCAGAGGCCTCTCCTCTGCCTACAAGGCCCTGCATTGCGTGGTCTGGCCCTGCCCATCTCCCCAGCCTAGCAGTACCCAGGCTCCCCTCGCCCTCTCTGCTCCTGCAGCTCCCCGTGTGCCCTATTTTCCAATCCACCCCTCCCCATCCCCACCCCCCAGGGTCCTTCCCAGCCATGCACTCTCACTTCCTGCAGACTTCTCCTTTACAGCACTTAGCACGACTGTACTTTTAATCATAGCCCCCCACCGGGCAGTAAGCTTTATGGGGCCACTGACCCCATCTGATTTTGCTTACTGTTCTATCCCCAGCACCTGGGCACAGAGCCTTACACTCAATAAATATTTGTGAGTGGTAAACATTCAATAAATAGTAGCTATGAATACAATGTCTAGGCAAAATCAGGCAGACAGCAAACCCTGGACTGGCCCCAGGGGACCTTCTGGAGCCAAACTCTACTGACTCTCACTGCTCCTCTCCCCTGGCGTCCACTGCCGAGGTGTCTTGTTGGACTTTATTGGCATTCCCAGTGATTTTCGAAAGAAAAGCCAAGGATGGGAGTGGCCTGACGTGGGCTTCAGTGCTTGAGCTCTACTGCCGTTTGCTCGTCCCTGGACACTGGCCTGGCTGAAGCGGATGGTCAGGCATTTCTTCAGGAGCACCCACAGGTTCCCGAGCACAGAGGATGCTGAGATGCTGGAAGGAGCACACAGGAGTGAACTCTCACGGCAAAGGTTAAGGCAAGGCCCCAAGAAGCCAAACCATCCTAGACAAAGAGAGGCAACCACCAAAGTTTGGTTCTTGAATATGTATTTTTTACTGAAAAAATCATTCATAAATTAACATACAAAAATGTACAAACACATGAGTAAATAATGTAATGACAACAGACGATTTTTGTGAAAAGTGTTTTTTAAAACTTCTTTAGATTTCAGTGCAAAAATGTACCCCTGGCACCTCTTAAAACATAAGAGCAAGCTCAAAAAAAAAGTAGTGATGGAAATCTGCTAGCTACGTTCAATGCCATCGTCAAGGATGAGTGTATACAATCAATATGCATGGCTGCTGCTCAGTCTGTGGTGGAGAAGCTCCAAGAGTCCCAGTAATCTCAAAAGGAATATTTTGCAAATAATGCCTCCCCCCAGCAAAAAAAAAAAAAAAACAGTGAGAAAGGGGGAAGAAAAGCTTGCAGTTTCTCATTAACCCTTCCCTGCACGAGGCAATCAAAGACAAGACTGATTTAAGGGGTCACCCATCAGTAGCCTTGAAGAATTTCAGCTGCCAAAATATGCACAAGGTCACATTTGGTTCTTATTGTTCTTTTTTTTAACAGCAGAATTCCACACTATGAACAGCGCAGCTACCTGGCTGTAGGTTTTCCTGATATTTTCAAGACAACAGTCAACTCTCTGTATAAATGAATAACAATATGTACTGAGAGGTTCCACGTTAATGAAACGAACTCATAGACGATTGCACGAGAATCTCAGTGACCCTACTTTTAAGCAGTAAAAAGAGACCTCTCCTTCTGTCCTCAAACCAGCATTTCCTTTTTAAAAGAGGCACTAGCCTCCTGCCAGCAGTCTGTACTTGGTGGTAAAGATGTTCGTGGAGCGTCACACAAGGTCCTCTTACCATAACACCGCAGACACACACACCATCCTTAACCAAGAATGTAAGGGGGCTGACCTGGCCAAGGCCTCCAGATTACATCAGCGTTCTGTCACATCAAAAGCTACTCACACCCCTCAGTGAAGACAGAGAACGAGAATGGTGAGGAGAGCCAAGGCCAGAACAAAGGTCTGGGGCGGGAGAGGGGGGAAATCTTTATTGCTACTATATGCACCAGAGAACAAAGGAAAACCGAACGAACTTCTGTGGGTAATGCTCCCTCATGAAGGTATTTTAAAGCACGAATGCTCAAAAGTCTTTTAAAACATATGATACAACTTACCAGCGTTCTCAAGGGCAATCTCTGCTCTCTCATATGGGCTGATAAGAGCTTTGCAAAGCAGTTTATTTCCGAAATATCACTCTATCCTTCCCCTAAAACAAACAAACAAACAAAAAACCCAAAAAAAAAACAAGGCCTGGCCAATCACTCCCACAGTTTGTGGGGATCATATGTCCATGGAACCAACACATGCAACGGAAAAAACCCCAACCCACACATATACACACAAATACACCCCCTACACACACACCCATGTAAACCATGAAAATTAAGGAAATTGAAGGCAAACAAGGCAATTAAAAAAACTATGAAGTACTCATCAGAAAGTACTCCTAATCACAATATATAAATATGTCTTATGGAAAAGGGAAAAAAAAAAAAACTGGCATTATTCAGAACTCTGCAGAATCCGACAGGGACTATGAAGTGGGGCATTTAGCGCAGGGAAAACCAAAGAGGCACAAACTCAAATGCAACTTAGACTCTGACTTCAAAAAGCAAGCGGGGGTGTGAAAAGGGCCTGTGGGCTCTCGGGTTCTGGAGCTTCCTAAGTCAAAGCCTGATTTGGTCGCACCTGGATCCTGGTCCCCCGCAGCACAAGCCTCACCTGCTCCCTGCCTGAATTCTTCATAGTCTATTGTTCATTAGTTCTACATACTAGTTAATAATGTTATCAGAGAATCTTGGCGGATACCACAAAGGGAAATATTCACAGGAATCACTGAAGCCAGTTGGTAATTCAGGCACAGATTTAGAAATTACAGCCAAGTTCGACAAACCTGTTGCCGTCAAGGCGATTCTGACTCATAGCAACCTTATAGGTCAGAGCAGAAGTGCCCCCATAAGGTTTCCAAGGAGCGGCTGGTGGATTCAAACTGCCGACTGTATGGATATGGATAGCAGCTGAGCTTTTAACCACTGTGCCACCAGGGCTCCAAGTTCCACAATAGGGTAAAGAAAGAAAAACCCACAGCTCTCTCTTTCTGATGATGTGAAAAGGACAAAAACTAAAGTCCAGGGAACGTGGGAAGAGTACACAGGCCTCCTGCGGGCCTGCTCTGAGCAGGCGAGCCACGCGCTACAGAACAGCCTCCTGCTTAGCAGAAGATTTTGGGATGGGAGTGTACGTTCCCACCAGGGAAGAAAGATACAGAGCAAAAAGTCAAGATCAAGACTTTCTGGAAGGATAGGGGGATGAGAAGGGACAGAAGCAACCAGCTACCAGTGATAGAAACTGGACGACTTTGTTCTTTCGACATGCCCTATATCCACTCCCTTCTGAAGTGACTGCAACTTGGGAAATGGCTATTCCTCAACTGCATTTTAACTGAGTTCCTGCATTTGCCAACCAAATAAGGGATCTAATGTACAAATCCTCAATTTGAATTGGAGCCGGCTATATAATTAAATTTAAAAAGGCATTTTACATGGCTTATTTACAATTATACTTCTTCAAGAAGTGATTGTTACATATATGTCTATTTATCTTCCCCAATCCCTTCCTTCCTCCCTCAATCCCCACCCAAAGCAGGTAACTCTTTTTTTTTTTTTTTTAAATGAAACCAAAGAGAACACCAGAGATGCAGGAGAACGGTGTATGGAGTTTCATTTGCTCTTCTGACGACACAGCTGCCCTGTGTTGGGTTCGCCTTTTTGCTCTGAAGGCCAAGAAGTTCCCACGGTGACTCGCAGGAGCAGCTTCCACTGCAGGACCATGGCAGATCACAGTTCCGGTACTGGAGGCTGTGGCTAAGATGGGACGCGGGGGCAGGAGACAGGAGGGAGAAGAGCAGCGGACAGACGTCCGCCTGGTGAAAATCGAAAGCAGTCCTGATGAGGTGTGTTTGCAAGCTCATGAGCCTCGATCCCAGCAGGTCAGGACAGTGAAGGCGTCTTGTGCATGCTCCCTCCTTGGACCCTGTGGTCCTTCACTGACACTGTATTTCTGTCCCCTTCCTGTGCAGACCCCCACAACATCTCACCAGGTTGCTTTCTTGGTGGCAGCGGGTAAAGCAAATGTGTATTCTCTCCTCGACTTAGTACTCGGTCACCAGAGCCAGCTCAGGTGTCAAGTTGACAGTTATGTTTTTATACAAGGCGTCGTATGTGATGTTTGCAAAGTAGTTCAAGTTGTTGAGACCATCCAGCCCTTGCCGTTCCTTTGACTTCCTCAGCAGAGCATACCTGTTTAAGCGGAGAACAGAGAGGAGGTTCAGAGCTAGGATCACAAGCTCCTCACAGTCACACAGGACAGAGCCACAGAAGAGGACACAAGCCAGGCCCCACCTCCGCATCCTGTGCGGCATACACTGGGTGAGTGCTGCTCTGGGTTAAGCAGTCCTATTATCAGAAACACCTTCCAGTTTGTGCCAGGTGCTTTACCTATTATGGTATTTCATTTAATGGGGAAACCAAGGCCCAAGGTCACGGATGAAGACGTGGCAGACAAGATATTAAAAAGAGATCAGATGACAAAGTCTCTAACTTGTACTCAGTGCCCTCTTAACTCCCGTGATACCAGAGTTGAAGCAATGAAGATCAGATGTCTGGAGAACTGTCTTTGCTCCAATTTACAAAAGACAAGAAGAGTCACTCTTGAAAATACAGAGATGTCACTCCTGCCATGTGTCCAGTCAGCCCAATCTGGGATAACTTGTTTAAAGGAAGTAAAAGAGCAACTGCAACCACAAAAATAGAAGCTCAGGACACCCTTCCAGAACAGGAGCTTGCAGAAAGGGTGCTGGCTCTGCTCTGTCATGTCAGCTGTGACAAAAGGTCACACCGAGACTCTGACCTGCCTGAGTGGACTTTTCTACAACTCCCTAAAGGCTGCAGGGGAGACAACAAAGCTCAAGAAGCAGAATGAGTGCTTTCCTTAAAAGATCCTACTGTCAGATTTTTCACCACTGGTTTGATTTCACCCCCAAATGACTGCCTCAAAGTTAAACTAGAATGTATGGAGCAACGGTAAAACAGCTGTTTGGAGTGAGGGTAGGGAGTCAGTTGAGGGGCTGTAATCTGCTCTCAGATACCTGGAAATGCAAAGTATTGAGGATATTTGTAAGAGGGATCAATAAATTGCACCAACCTCCCAAGAAATTGGACTTCTCCTCGATGGTGATGAGGAATGGACTTGTACTTCCCCGTGTCGCCCTCCGGCCGGCTCACAGAATAGCCTGCATTCTGTACTCTGTCCAAGACAAAGAGAAGGGGCTTTTAGATATAACGATCAAGCCCCATAGGTGACATGATACAAGCTCATGTTCACAGTCAAGTACAGCAAAAGCCTTCTCAACTCACCTCCTTTTAACTGACTCACAGGTTGACTGAAGCTCTCCAAGCCCCTCTAGCCCCACCGACACACAGCTCCCTGAGTGTGCACGGCTCACGGGCCAGTCTCTAACATGCTTGTACTACTCAATGCTTACAGTGGAGGCTTGCCAAGTCAGCTCTACGTGACCCCAGCCCTTTATGCCAGCTGTACTTGTTATTATAGTCATGTGATTTCATTAATTCATACACAAACTAACAAAATAGAGCAAAATGGATTATTGCTTCCACGAAAAATAAGTTGGTGGCTTTGAAAGATTTGATAAAGGCAAGTGGATTAAAAAAATTCTGCTAAGTATATGGGTGAGACAACTATAAAAGACTGAAGGGAAAATCATAAATACTCAGAAGGATTTGACACTCAGCGGTTACCTGAAAGCTGTTCTCATTCTAGTTTAAAGAGCCCAGGACTGGAAACTGTGTTTAGGACACTGTGAATATGATTTAAGAGGCAGAGAGGAGAGAGCCAAACTGTGATCGGTGGAACTGTGATCAAAGACGGGCCCAGGACCCACACTGAAAGGCTGTAGATGAATGTATACACCTGGCCTAGAGTGGAAACAAAACATTCATCTCTCTTATGATTCCTTTAGGAGCCCTGGTGGCGCAATGGTTAAGTGCTCAGCTGCTAACCAAAAGATTGGCAGTTCGAACCCACCTAGTGGCTCCGTGGGAGAAGGACACGGCGATCTGCTTCTGTAAAGACTAAACGAGAAAAAAACCAAACGCACTGCCGTCAAGTTGATTCCGACTCAACAGTGACCCTACAGGACAGAGCAGAACTGCCCCATAGGGTTTCCAAGGCTGTAAATCCTCACGGAAGAGCAGACTGCCACATCTTTCACCCAAGGAGCAGCTGGTAGGTTCAAGCAACCAATCTTTTTGTTAGCAGCTGAGTGCTTTAACCACTGAGCCACCAGGGCTCCTCTGTAAAGACTATAGCCTAGGATACCCTACGGGGCAGTTCTACTTTGTCACATGGGGTTGCGATGAGTTAAAATCAACTCAATGGCACCTAACAACAATGTGACTCCTTTACTTAACCAACTGATTAATGCGAAACAGTGGTTCTCAACTGAGGGTGAGACAATGTGTGGAGACATCTATGGTTATCACAGTTTGAGGGAGAGTGCCACTGGCCTCTAGTGCACAGAAGCCAGGGATGCAGATAAACATCCCACAGCGCACAGGACAGCCCCCACAACAAAGATTTATTGGCCAAACATGTCATGGTGCCCAGGTTGAGAACTCAAGTTGAACAACAGGACACCTGCATTTAAATATTCCTTCTGCCTACCTCTGGGTAAGTTCGTGGGTTTAGAAAGCACATTGACAGTACATAAACTTTTGAAAAAGAAAAGAAAGTCAAAAGAAACAGAAAATCTTTGAAAGGGAGGTTCGAAGTGGGGTCTCAGTGAGAGGTATCACAGTTAAGTGCCCCAGCAGACAAGTATACAAATACTTCCTCTTGGCCTGCGTGCTTCCCATCAGGAATATTTTTTCATGGTGGTTTACAGCTCCTTACCCTTCCACAGCCTAGTATAAAGCAATCCTGCGAAGTCAAAGTACTGATGTATTTTCCCTACTTAAGCAGAAATCATGTCCCCGCCCACCTTCCTCATCACCACTGGGATGAACTACTTTATACGGCATGCTTCCGGTCTAAATGTAAAACTTCACAATTTACGAGAAGTAACTATGACGGAAGCACAATTTAGAGGTGATTATCAGGGCATTTATCTTTACCAATTAAGGTATTTACCTTTACTATTTAAGGTATTGACTCAAGGTCAATAAAAAACGGGAGATTTCCCCAAGCTGGGTCACTGGAACCTTCACAGGGCTCTAAAACACAACTCATTTGGAGGGAAACTGTGGCGTCCTAGGTGAAATTAATGGTCGTTTCTTATATTTTAAAATCGTGGGAGAATATTATTTCAAGATCCTCCTCTTGACTCGAAGCTATACTCTCATGTTAACATGTGAAGATGTGTTCTCACTCACATTTGAGACAAATAATTATGGAGCGCCTGCTGTGTGCGTGGAGTCGTGCAGGGTGCTGGCGGGGATCAGCCACAGTCCTGCCCCTGGAGCTCCTGCTGTGCTGGAGAGAGCTGCCTGGGAGAGAAGGATGAGCGCCAGGACAGACAGAAGCACAGGGCACTGTGGGGCAGTGAGCAGGCAAACAGGGAGGCCAGGAAGAGCACACCTGGACTCAAGGACTGGACAAGCCAATATAGTGTATGGAAAAGACGTTCACGCATACTAGGTTCTAAGAGACCAAACTTAAAAGAATGAAGTGACATTTTTACCCATCAGATTGGCAAAAATTTTAAAGGTTGTTTATGTCCAATGTTGGCAGTGACGTAAGAAAATGGGCATGCTAATCACTGTTGGTGGGCACGTAATTTTGCCATCGTTTCTGGAGGACAATTTGGCTATAGCTATCCAAATTTTAAAAGTACATATACTTTCTGGTTCTGCAGTTCCACAACTAGAGATGTAATTTCAAGAAATACTTGCACATGTGAACAAAGGTCATTCAAACCTGCAAACAGCTGATGCTCATCAATAGGAGAGGAGTAAAATAAATTACAGGGCAGCCACATACTAGAGCACCATGTGATTGTTAAAAATAATGAAGAAGCTTTCTATAGAATTGAGAGGGATGGAAAGGGAGAAGGGATGTATCTATGTTTATATATGAACAGAAGGAAACAACAGCTTGTTAAAATGGCTACTGCCAGGAAATGAAATAGGATGGCAACGGGGATTAAGACTTTATACTCTTTGGTTTATGTATTTTTGTATCATTGAATTCTTCTCAGTAAATTATTACTTTGTAATTAATAACAAACACATACTTTCTCTTTTAAAGCCAAGCTAGAGAGGAAACAGATAAAAGTGTACAATGAAAATTGTTCTGCATTTGTTTCTTATTAGTTAATTTTACTTACTCTGTAAAAATATTACTTTATAACACTCACCCACAGGGTTATTCACAGAAACTTCTGTAGCACGCGCCTTATCTGACCGCACGCCTAAACCTGTGTGTGCACATTGCTACATTTGTGAGGTTAACATTGGGGAAGATTCAGCGATGAGCACTTACACACACTGCTGGTGAAGTGTACATTTTTGACACAACCTTTGGGTGGGGATGGGGAGGCACTTAATTACAATGTCTTAAGAGCCTTTAAATGACCATATTGTGACCCTGGTAATTCCACTTCTAGGGATTTTTCCTAAGAAGGAATAAGAAACAGGCAAAGAAAGTCTACTGTGTCACAATCTGTTGTGTTGTTAGGTGCTGTTGAGTTGGTTCTGACTCTTAAAGACCCTATGTACAACAGAACAGAATACTGCCGGGTCCTCTACCATCCTCACAACTGTTACTATGTTTGAGCCCACTGTTGCAGCCACTGTGTCAATCTGTCTTGTTGAGAGCCTACCTCTCTTTTGCTGACCCTCTGTTTTACCAAGCATGATGTCCTTCTCCAGCGACTGGTCCCTCCTGATAACCTGTCCAAAGTACATGAGGCCAAGTCTGGCCATCCTCACTTCTAAGGAGCACTCTGGCTGTACTTCTAAGACAGACTGGTTTGTTCTTCTGGCAGTCCATGGTATAGTCAATATTCTTCACCACACCATAATTCAAAGGCATCAGTTCTTCTTTGGTCTTCCTTATTCACTGTCCAGCTTTTGCATGCATATGAGGAGACTGAAAATTCCATGGCTTGGGTCAAGCACACCTTAGTCCTCAAAGGGACATCTTTGCTTTTTAACACTTTAAAGAGGTTTTTTGCAGCAGATTTGCCCAATGCAATATGTCATTTGATTTCCTGACAGTCTGTAGCACTGGGAAAATTGAAAAGCCTCTAAATGTACAACAATAGGGAACTGCTTACATAAATTATAGTATAGCTACATAATGGAATTAAAGGCAGCCACTTAACATTCTGTTCTCAAAGAATATTTAGTATTGATATAATAAAAGCCATATTGTCTACTGAGAGCTTATCACAATCAAACACTATGAGAAGTTTCATATACATTATCTCACAGTCCTGAGATTTGTACTACTGTTATTTTACAGTTAAAAAAAGACACAGATTTGTAAACAAACCAGACAATTTAAGTTACCATTCATCTATCACTTATAAAATACAAAATAAATTCATTGAAACGGTAACCACTGTTATTTCTGAGTATTCAGACTGTGGACAATTTATTTCATTTTTAAACTCATCTGTATTTTGAAATGAACATGTCCTTTATTATAAGAAAAAAGAAACTGTTAAATCATTACTTAAGTTTATGTTTGCATGTTAAAGGAGAATAAGAAAATGAAAAAGAGATATTAGTTGGGATGTTTTGTTTTTTAGGGTGGTAAGAGATTTTTGTGTTTGCAATGTTATAATTATACAATTTTTTAAGTGAACAAAAGTCATTTCAGTGACTCCAAATATTCTAGTGTCTATCATAAAAGGGGAGCCCTGGTGGCACAGTGGTTAAGAGCTCAGTGCTAACCAAGTTAGCAGTTTGAATCTACCAGCCGCTCCTTGGAAACCCTATGGGGGCACTTCCATTCTGTCCTAGGGTCGCTGAGTCAGAATCGACTCAATGGCAATGGGTTTGGATTTGGTTTTGTCATAAAAGAAATCAGTCACTCCTAAATCAAATCAGGGAAAGAATTGCCTGGAGCTGTTCTGTCCAATAGGATCACCACAAACCACATGTGGCTACCAATCACTTGCAGTGTGGACGGTCAGAAGTGAAATGTGCTATGAATATAAAATACATGACAGATTTCGAAAATTTAGTAGGAGGAAAATGAATGTAAAATATCTCATTAACAATTTTTATATTGATTACATGTTGAAATGATAATATATGACTGTATTATATTAAGTATATTGTTAATATATTATTAACTTCACCTTTGCTTTTTAAATGTGGCTACTAGAACATTTTCAACTACATACATGGCTCACACTGTATGTTATGGATTGATTTGTGTCCCCCAAAAATGTGTGTCAACTTGGCTAAGCCATGATTCTCAGTACTGTGTGATTGTCCACCGTTTTGTCATCTGATGTGATTTTCCTATGTGTGGTAAATCCTACCTCTACGATGTTAATAAGGTGGGATTAGTGGCAGTTATGTTAATGAGGCAGGACTCAATCTACAAGATTAGGTTCTGTCTTAAGCCAATCTCTTTTGAGACATAAAAGAGAAAAGTGAGCAGAGAGACAAGGGGACCTCATACCACCAAGAAGGCAATGCCAGGAGCAGCGCACATCCTTTGGAACCGAGGTTCCTGTGTGGAGCAGCTGCTAGACCAGGGGAAGACTGATGACAAGGACCTTCCTCCAGAGCGTACAGAGACAGAAAGCCTTTCCCTGGAACTGACACCCTGAATTTGGACTTCTAGCCTACTAGACTGTGAGAAAATAAATTTCTCTTTGCCAAAGCCATTCACTTGTGGTATTTCTGTTATAGCAGCACTAGATAACTAAGATACTGTATTTCTACTGGCTAGGGCTGGTCTGGAGAGTCTAAGGTAGCACTTCTAAAAGGCACCAGAAGAAGGCAGTACCTGTTCCAGAGGTCGTCATCTTCTCCACCCCAACCCCAGAAAGCGTTAGGAAAGCCGTTGATTTTCCGAAACTGTTCAACTGTTAAGCCGCTCACTCCGCCAAAGAACTCAGTATAAGGAAGCCTAAGAAGAGAAATGCAGCATCAACCACCTGTGCATAAAGAGTGACTCTTTTTCTCCAAGAATAGCCCATCTCACCTGAGAACTAAGTCTTAAGTAAAACAGTATTGTCTGTCCTACTGCCTTCAACCATCTGAAATCACTTTCTCTTGCTGAGATGTAGCCACTTGAGTAGCTGACTGGGTTTTTTTGAACTGATTTTTTATAACACCTCTATTGAGATGTAATTGACATGCCATATAAGGCACTCATTAAAAGTGCACAATTCAATGGTTTTCAGTATATTCAGAGTTGTGCAACCATCACCACAATCAATTTTAGAACATTTTCATCACTCCAAAAAGAAGCCTTATACCCATTAGCCAGGGGCGGATTATTCAATAGGAAAGGTAAGCACTGTGCTTACCAGATCACCTGTAGTGAACAATCTCACATTTTTTCACCACATCAAAGATCCTGCTTCTAGGTATGGCTGGCATCTGTCTCTCTCCCAACCCCACAGCACCTTCCTGCAGAATCAAAGCCTCTTTTTAAATTTACAATCCCTTACAGGGATGCATGACCCAGTAAGCAAGGTAAGCATGGGCTTACTTGTGCTTACTTACTAATCTGTAGTGAACAATTTCATTACAGATGATCTGGTAAACAAGGTAAACACTGTGGATTATTGGATAATCCACTCCTACCATTAGCAGTCACTCCCTATTTTCCTCTCATTCCTCCCAACCCTAGGCAATGACTAATCTTTCTGTCTCTATAGACTTGTCTGTGATGGACATTTCATAGACACGGGATCATACAATAGGTGGTCTTTTGCAACTGGCTTCTTTCACTTAGCATAATGTTTTTAAGGTTCATCCGTGTTGTAGCATGTATTAGTATTTCATCCTTTTTATTGCCAACCAATATTCCGTTGTATAGCTATACCACATTTATCCACTCATCAGCTGATGGACATTTGAGTTGTAGCTAATTGGATTTTACCATCTGTGCCTCTCTCATATCCTTTTAGATTTAGCCTCTTTAATTAAGAGGAAACGATACTCACAGATACATATACTTATCCAATTTGGCTGCAAAGTGCCTTGGCATCTGTCCACATCCATAATAGTTGCGATCACTTTCTGGTATATGATCTACATCATGAAAAATCAGACAGTCCCAATCCAAGTCCTTCATTGCTTCTTGAAAACCAACATTGAAAAGCATGGCTCGATTAAAGGGTTGGGTACCAACCTAAAAGAAGCAGAACTTTATTTTTAAAAGGACTCTTGAAGCAACATCCTCACTGCCTTTGCCTTGTGTAAGGGAGAGCTTACTGGAACTGACTGGAAAAGATCATGGGGCTAGAGGTGAGATTAGGTCCAGCTTTGCTCACTCACTCGCTGACTGACTCATTGTATGACTCACTGTATGAAGTCACTTGGCCTCTGGCCTCCATTTCTTTAGAAATAAGAAGAGTAGAGGAATCAAATACCCAACTTCTGATAGGCATAAAGGGAACCTGCAAACCTCTCGTTGGTCTATAGAGTTTCTAGTTTGAGGATCATACATTTAAATCCAAGGCCTAGCAAGGTTTGCTAATGCCTCAGGTGACATGGTTAATTAACAGCAGATATAGGATAAGCACTGAGGCCTCCTGTGCTGGACCTCAGTGCAGCTCCTTATCTTAAGGGGAATTTCCTGGGTCTGGAGCCTGAAGACACCACCCAAAGCAGGTATTAGCAAAATCACCACACAAAAAGCCTTTGTTCATGTCAAACAACGTCCATCCTGGACTCCCATTTGCCAGGATTGAGCAACATTTCAAGCCAGAAGTACAGAGCTGCTCTCTGTTCCTCTACTTCAGGGTGACTCAACTGTAACATTTCAATTTATTGGCTCTTCCCATCGAAGATGAATTAGCTCGAAGCACGCAGTCGCAGAAGAGAAAGAATGAAAAGAAGAAAGGAACACTCACTTGCTCAACCACATAAAATGCAAACCGCAGGCGCTGGCGCTGAAGCATGGGAATCAGGTGTCTAAGCAGGACTGGGAGGTGCTCGTGGCGGTTCCGGAAGGGGATAAGGATCGCCACCTGGAGTGGGTCACAGCAAAAGAAGCCACCCAGTTAGTCTCCTGAACTTTCTCTTGGTAGCAGGATACCCCCGCAGAATCAGGGACCACTCTTGGGGAGTTGTGGGAGGCTACCTTGTCCTCAACTTCCTCTGAATGAAGACCTATGCCGGGAAGTGGGCCCTTGGTAGTAAACAGATCTTATTCTTATGCACCATGCCTTGCACAGAGTGGGCCTGTTAAATTCACTCTAGACCATAACCCATAGGAAGAGATACATTTTTCAGTGTGACGCAGTACACAAATATATCTATTGATATATACAACTAAAATAAGCTTCACAAAATAGTACTTCCCCATGTAATATTTTCTTTCTTACGCTTTTTATTATTATTATTATTATTAATGCTGGTCTTTAGCTTGATCCACACTACAGATGTCCCCTGACTATAGTCATCCAGAAAAACACTAAACAAACCTCAGGGTCAAGCTAGATAACTCCACTTTTTATTCCATTAATCATATAGCAACCAGTGGAGAATAAGGCAGGAAGCAATGAACTGTGAAGATGACATCTACAAATGTGTCACAAGATATCTGCCAGCCCTACCCCTTGCTTAGCCAACGTTCCTTTTAGGAAGACAAGTGTCCTGCTCAGTAATCGCAACAGTGCAAATTCCAGTGGCTACAGAGAGTCACTGCGCAAGCCCATTCCTTCACAATGTTTCAATCGAATGCAAACACTTTGCATGGGGTGGAAGGAAGCAAATGACTCAATGTCATAACCAGTGAATCCCGTGGCAAATCCCAAGTGGGCTTCCCAGCACTTCGGGTCTGCCTTCACACCCTACCTTCCATCGAGGCACGCAGTCAGAGGGCCTCCAATGACCTCCGAGCTTGATGGCTGGGTCTTTGGAGAAGATTTCATGAATGTCATCCATTGCGATTTCACTCATATTTATGTCTATTGGGCCCTCTGAACAAAGAAGAAAAAAAGGATTAAACAGCCAGAAAATACGTTCTTTGCAGGGTGTTATTCTCTGGAGAAGTTCAATGTTTTTTTAGTGGATACTAGAAGCCCCTTCCTCTGCTGTCCAACTCAATGCATTACAGTTTTCAGTGCACCACTATTATCTTTGTAAAGCAGCAAATCGAAAAAGTGAGACTTGAATTCTGCTTCTGCCAAGGATGTAGAAAGAAATTAAGACTTTTAAATAAAACAGCAGCTGAAAATGATTTCTGATAACCAATTTTCACCCCTCAAAACATCTCTTCTACTGAAAGCTAAACTTCCCAACGGGGAAGGAGGAAAGCAGGTGAGCTCAGAGCTCTCTCAGCGTGCTCCTGAGGCAGCTCAGACACACACCAGCCATCCCAGTTAATTCCTTGTGAGCTGGGGGCCCTGAGGCCCACTTGGCAAACTACATCCAAGCTCAGAACATTGTCATCTCTGACTTAAGAAGCAGAACTAAGAAGTCCAAAAGCACAAAAAAAGATATAATAGTTTAATGTTGCTGTTTAACATGAGTCCAAGAAAAAAAAAAGATACAAGAATTTAACAACCAGTACTTTGTTAAGAAAATAATTTTCCCAATATCAAGTGTGTGAGATTTACACTAACAGACAAAGCAGGTTGTCTAAGTTCTTGTATGTTTAAAATCCACAGTATATTTTCTTTAGAACATCCTAACAGACCCAAGCCACAAAGAAGGAGGCATGTGCAAAGGCAAGGGTGGACAATGCGATAGAAAAGGGTACCCAAGAACACAGGCAACCCTGCAGGAAGACTGAAGGGATGTCAATCACAAACGACTTTCACAATCCCTGCTTCCAATGGCAGGGAGGCATTTATATTCTTACATGAGGTATGAATATAGAGACCAAGAGACTGCACTCCCCTTTTTCATTTTCACCAAATTAAAAGAAACAGTTTTAAAAACAGAGGAAGCCAATCTAGAGCTCTACTCACTCATGGAAGGGAGCCTTTCAGGGCAGGTACGGTTTGCAAAGTAGGTGAAGTCTTCAGGAAGAAAAGTTGTAGTTTGTAGGAAGGTTTCACTGTGATTCAAGTCAAGAGGATAATCTGCAGAGATTAAAAAAAAAAAAAAGGAGCAACTCAGACTGGTACATGTCATCAATTCTGCAAGTCTTAGACACCTGCCAAAGATGAATTATTTTTTCTTAGATTTCATCTTTTGTAAAAGCAGGACTGTGGACTAACTCTTCATCAGCTAAATATTTCAAAACTGTCAATTAAAAAAAAAAAGTTAACCAGGTGGTACCATTTTAACCAGCATTTCCATTCTTGTTGGTATCACAGCCTGAAATACACTCAGTTTCCAGTCAAACAATTCTACAAGGTAATTAAAAAAAAAAAGCAGTTTCCAATGTCCCCCTCCACTTCTTTTTCTCTAAAGAAATTATTCTCACCACTTTTAGTGAACTATTTCAGAACTAATATTTAGTATTTACCTCCATGACCCTATGGGGCAGTTCTACTCTGTCCTATAGGGTCGCTATGAGTCGGAATCAACTCAATGGCAATGGGTTTGGTTCGGTTTTGGTTTATTTACTTCCATTAGCCTGTAGAACTGTGATAGCAACGGTCACACTAATGAATCCTGCTGACTATGTCAACAGTGCAAACCAGACCACGAAGACCAAGATCACCCACTAATGATGCCAAATTGTGTGGTGGGTAACAACGTCTACTCCACACACCAGCTGCATCCTATGGAAATCTCAGCTTCCCTTCCCTGTTCAGTTCAGACTCCAGCTGCCCACTCGGCCCTTCTTTCTCTTATCCCTAGCCACCTGAGGGCTAGATCAGTGGGTACCAGCCTGCAAGCTCAGAAGTAAACATCACACCTTTGATAATAGCTTTAATGTAACAAAAAAGGATACAAATGAAGAGATGCCTAGCAAGGCCTGGGAGGGCTCCCAGTGCAGAGACTCCATGTCCCAGGGGAACGTACTATCCTGCCAAGAGCTTACCAACCAGGAAGCTCCATCTGAGCCTCAGGGCTTCTATCTGCCTCATCACGTGGCCATGATAGACTGCACCTTATGCCTTGTGAGGTTTAGTCAGCATCAGGCCCCCAAGTGGTCCCCCTTGGTCTAGTCAACCCCACTCATTAGCCTCAGATGTAGTCCAGCTCTTAAGAACCCAGAATAAAAGGCCCAATTGCTTTCTGAACCTCACAAAACCTAATCTTAATTCTCCATTTTAGAACTTATCTACTCATTTCCCATTATGGGAGATTAGGATTTGGCTCCCCTTCCTACCTCTGCTCCCACCACACACGGTATCCTTCCCATTTCCCTATATTCCCATTATAATTGCGGTTATGATAATCTTCAGTGTTTACATCATGATGATTTTATAAATATTATTCACAGTTGCAAAGTGTGGAAAGTTATGATTATTTTTCCTTTCTTGCACAACTCCCCCCAACCCCCTGAAGTGACTATCTTGTTTTTCTGTTTGCTTAATTTTATATATAATAATTACTAACTCAACACCATACCCTTTGCTAACACATTCCTCTGAAGACATTCACATGCATCAACTTCATCTTCCGAAAAAAGTCCAGTGTCTTCTGACTGACGCCAATCTGGACTAGCTTCTCTGTGCCTGATGCACAGATGCTATCCCCGAACCCCTGACCTCCCCACCCCAGTGTCCTGAGATTCCCTTCATCATTCTTCAGTATTGAACCTCATGTTTCCTAAATTCAATTTTTCTCTTTTTGCCATTTGGTGGAGCACATCCATCAAGTAGCTTCTTAAGAAGGGTAGATGGGAATTTGAAACCTCCTGTATCTGATTGTTTTTATTCTTCCTCACTTGATTCATAGTTTGTTTGGGTTTATAACATTCCAGGCTGGAAATAATCTTCCATTAGAATTGTGAAGGTATTGTTCCACTGTCTTCTAGTTTCGGTGGTGGTCAGTCTGAAGCCATTTTAATTCCTGCTCTTTCCAGTAACTTCTTCCTGGAAGTCTGAAGAACTTTCTTTGTTCAGGAAATTTCATGTTGACGTGCCTTGCTGTGAGTCTATTTTTACCCACTGTGTTGGCCATTCAGTCCGCCTTTACAGACTGAAAATCCAAGTCCTTCTGTTATGGATTTTTTTTGCAGGGGGGTGGATTACGTTGGTGATGATTTCCTCCTTTTTGCATTCTCTGCTCTTTTTCTGGAGAATATAGAACATGAATTGGATGCTAGACCTCCTGCCCCTCTAATTTTCTCATCTTGCTGTTTCCTACTCTACTTTCCGAGAGATTTCTTCAACTTTATCTAACCCTCAGTTAATTTTCCTTTCTGCTATCATTTTTAACTTCCAAGTGCTCTTTTATTTTCTGAATGATCTTATATTTTTGTTTCATGTTTGCCATCATTTTCTATTATCTCTCAGGATATATGTGATAGTTTAAGTTTTCTTCTCCCTGCGTAGTCTGTTTCTTCCAATTTGCTTTTTCTTGTTTTGATCTTTAGCATGGTGATCCTTGGTTGTCTGATAATATTTAAGGGTGAGAGGGTTTGGACTATGTGCTTCTTCAATGCACGGTGTTCTGGTCAGGATGTTTGGTCTGGAAACTTCCAGTGTCAGTATCTTTAGTTCCTCCTCTTGTTCTGGTCAGAGTCCCTACAGAAGACTACTTAAATTTCCTTCCAGAATGGTACAGGCCTGGCTACAAGCATTCTGGAACCGAGGAGGAGAAAAAGGTGGATGGGCATATGTTGCCTCCCTCTTTTCAACACCGTACTCACACCCTAAACCATGTCTGGTGTCCCCAAGTCCAGAGACCCTCTCTTTTACCATCTCTAGAGGTTAAGTCTTTTGCCAGGATAAAGGGATCTGGGTATTTGAATGCTTTTTAAATAGCTCTCAACCAATCCTTATCTTAGGCCCTACCTTTATTCCTGCTTCCAGACACACTTATACTGCTAATTCCTGAGCTTCTGCGGGACTCTGGGGTATAAACTGGGTGGGTGGTTCTTGGTTTTCCCTGCTGTCATATTAGGAGTCAATTTTCTTAGGTCTGTTAAGTCCTTTATCACTGGTCCATCTGCTTTCCAACTTCCAATTTTTTTGCCAACGTCTCTTTTCCTGTTCTCCTCATTCTTAAAGGTTCACATCATTTAAAGAATACCATTTAAAAAAAAACAAAACTCAACATACATATGCATCTATTCCTTCACTGTCATTTTAGTGGAGTTGAAGAGCATACACACCTTTTTCCTAAGGGACTGTAATAGTGGAATAGGATGGGGCTCCTCCAACCTCTGATTTTTAACTCATGCCAAGAGACTTGGCTGATGCATGACAGAGCTCCGACTAAACTCTGGGTCAGTGATCTTCCTGCTACACTTAACTATTTTTCACAGAGTATTAAAATCTCTCCCACCGATCCTTTTAGATTTTGTCCAATTGTTGCTGTTGTTGCGAATAGACACAGAACATAAACCAATTCCAGTTTCTACATGTACAATTCAGTGATACTGATTACATTCTTAGAGTTGTGCAAATATTTTTGGTTTAAGGTTTAAAGATTATCTCAGAGCAACAGTTTTGGGGGTTCATCCAGCCTCCATGGCTCCAGAAAGCCTGGAGTCCATGAGAATTTGAAATTCTGTTCTGCATTTTTCTGTTTTTGATTAGGATTCTTCTATAGAACCTTTGATCAAAATACTCAGTAATGGTAGCTGGGTACCATCTAGTTCTGGTCTCATGGCAAAGGAGGCAAGTTTTTCATGGAGAGTTCAATTTCTTTTTGATCCTCATACTGATTCTATGAAAATTAAGACTTCCTGCCAAATTCATCTCATCCTAGAATTCCAGAATCTAGTATTCCCATTCTGCCAAATTCACTTCCCATCTAGAATTCTAGAATCTATAACTGAGGTATAATAAAAGGCACTATGAGAGGATTTCTAGAATCAAATGGCTAACAATAATTGATTCCTTTCATATACGCACATGGCTGTCTAAAAAAAACCACTGTCACTAAGTCAATTCCGACACAAAGCAACCCCATGTGACAGAGTAGAATTACCCCATAGGGTTTTCTAGGCTGTAATCTTTATGGGAACAGATCGCCAGGTGTTTTCTCCTGCAGAGCAGCTGGTGGGTTCAAACAGCTTACCTTTCAGTTAGTAGCCAAGCGCTTAACCACTGCGCCACCAGGAGACAAGACCCTTTCCAACCTTAATGCTCCTATAAATTGGGATTTGTTTGAAGACAAAGATAAATTTCTTCCCACTTCTTTCAAAGACTGATATACTAAGCCTGGCAGCAATTAGCATGAAACAAAACAGGGCAAAATAAAATCCCACTTTATTCTTTCTTCCGATTACTAAATTAATAATATATTATTTAAAAAAGAAACAAACAAAAACCCTCAAACACAACTCCAAAGTGAAAGTCTTCCATAACCTTGCCCTACCTGTTAAGGTGGGGATGGCGGGGAACCCTTTGTAAAATATGGAGCCCTAATGGTGCAGTGGTTAAGAGCTCAGCTGCTAACCAAAAGGTTAGCAGTTCGAATCCACCAGCCACTCCTTGGAAATGCTATGAGGCAGTGCTATCCTGTCCCATAGGGTCGCTATAAGTCGGAATCACCTTGATAGCCATGGGTTTTATAAAATAAAGACATAAAGAAAATCTACTTTCTCACCAGCAGTGAAAACCTTTTAAAGATGCGAAAGGGGCAGAGGAAACTAAGTGCTCATGACCTGGTAATACTGTACATGGTTAGTTGTGGGAAGTCCTAATTCTTCTCCTTCTCCAATGCCTACAAATGGATGGATTACACTGTGTACTCTCCTCAGGGGGTTCCAGACATCAATTTCCTACTCTTCTAAAGCATGTACCTACAAAATGAGGGAACTTCAGAGAGAAGGTTGCTGAATTTCTATGCCTACAGTTTTACTTTTTAATTTAAATATATTTCAAATCAGGACATGTTCTTCCAATGAGGGAGGCAGAAGGGCAAAGAAAGCCAGTTGCCTTTATATTTATAAAATGGGAAAACAGCAGACATCCTACCTATAGATTCAAATAGCCATTAACTCTATGGGGCTCATATAGGAACATTTCTGTCAATCAGCTGTTGCTTATTCAACTTCGCTTTACACCAGTGGTTCTCAGCCTTGGTTGCACATCAGGACCACTGTGGAAGCGTTTAAAAATCCTAACGCCCAGGAGGTAACCCAGACCAATTACATTAAATAAGAACACATGGGAGTGGAGCCCAGCCACCAGTAGTTTTAAAAGCTCACCGGGCAATTCCAATGTGCAATCAAGGCACTGTGCAACAGATACAGGAAGAACCACATCTTTCCCCACACTTGAGAAAAGACCAAACACTTGGTTCTTTGCTTGAAAAATGTCAAAATCCATATATGCTAGAAAAATGTCATCAGGATAAGTATCTGTGAAATGCGAATTAGCATTTGTCAAGAGTTAGCACCCTTCCCCAGGACGCTCTTTTAACTTAGTACTGAAGTCACTCCTGAGGTTCACCCATCAGTCAAAGATTAGATAGGCCCACAAAATAAAATGAGACTAAATGGGCACACCAGCCAAGGGGAAAGGACGAGAAGATAGGAGGGGACAGGAAAGCTGCTAACAGGGAACACAAAGTTGAGAAGGGGAGAGTGTTGACATGTCATGGGGTTGGCAACCAATGTGACAAAACAATATGTGTATTAATTAATTAATGAGAAACTAATTTGCTCTGTAAACCTTCATCTAAAGTACAAAAAAAATTTAAAGTTCTATGACTATAAAATGCACACCAGGTTTCAAAGATTTATTACAAAAAAATAAAATGTGAAAATCTCATTAATAATGTGTTTATATTGGTGATGTGTCTAAATGATAATATTCTGCATATATATTGGGTTAAATAAAATATATTATTAAAATTTAAAAAAAAATTTAGCACCCTTAAGGATAACTCCCTACTGGGAGTAGGCATAACAAAGACTATGGACTAGGCATCTAAAACCACAGAATGAGGTTAAAAACGTTCACCTCACTGAATATATTACAAAACACCTGGAGATGACTTTATCTCTTGGCAACCAACTGTTGTTTTGAACCACGTGGGCAACAGAACAATTTTCTGAGTATGTGACTAGAAGGGGACTGGAGTCATATGTGTGACTGTGTGTGCGATCACGCACAAATGCATGCATGTAGGGGGAGGAAATCTACTCCTGCCCTGGTTGGGAGTAATTAGGTAGAATGGCACCTGGAAACTTGGATTATTTAAGTACGAATGAGAAACATCAAGCTACTTGAACACTTATCTCCTCATCTATAAAACTAAGTGGCTGGACTGGATGATCCCAGAGAATTCTCTTCTGATGCCAATATTCTTTTGAGCATTTTCCCTGAGTGCCCACAATACATTTTACAGGATTCACAATCTCACGTGGCAATGGCTTTCAGTGACATCTAAAAGCTTCTCCAGGTCATTACTTCAGGCTTATTCCCAAGCTCACAGTCTTGATCCCCAAAAGCACATTCTTATTAGGTAATCATCACTTCTAGCTTTTAAGCTTAAAGAAAACCATCATTACTTAAAATGTCACTTAAGTAGTACTAAGTGCCACACAAAAGTCAGTAAGAAGCCACAGGAAAGCACATTAGTCTTCGGTTAAGGAAATAAGGGAAAACTTGTGAGTGCTTAGCAAAATGAAATCTCAGAATGTATTTTTTAAATAAAAACTATCCATGGCCAGACTGGAGATGTCTCGTCACAGTTCCATGTAACCATATGAAAATACTTCCTGTATTCAATTTTTAGAAGAGTTTAAAAAGGAGTGGGAAAAAAGATAACTTTATCTCAAAGGTAAAAAAAAATTGGCATACACAGTCTTTTTTTTTTTTTTTAAATAAAAATAGCTAAAGTCAAAACCATGATTTAGGAACACTAAGTTCTAATATAATGTTGGGCAGGACATCTAACCTGTGTTCTGATTTCCTCTTTATACAATTAGTGCTTACAATAAAAGCCACAGGTAAAAGTTGCAGAAGGTTGAGGCAGAAATGTGCACTCGTGTCCATAATTGCTACATTTGGCTGAAGAGTCTGAAAAGCTTTCTTAGAAGGTGAATGAGTGTGACCACCAAACTCAGCCATGTGGCAGCAATTAAACCACACCTGAAGGTATACCAGAGGTATCTATTAAATTTTTCTTCCAGAAGTCACTTTTATAACTATAATTTGTGGGAACTGTTCCAGATTACAAGATCATTGTGAAATAAAAACTTTTTAAGTTTTAACTAAAGCATTCATAAACAATGAAGTAAAGTCCTACAGTGAGGCTGAACAAATTCAAGTAGAGCCAATAGGAAGAACAACATTGGACCTACTCTTCCTGTGCAGCAACCAGGGCCGGATTTGTCTTAAACTCTGAAAGCACCGTGGACCATCACCACCATGTGTAATTCAAAACCACAGAACAAACAAACAAACCCCACAATGTTAAACCAGGAAATAAGTGTAAGGAAGTCCAACCAAATTCTGTTTTTCTCCATTGGCTATCTGAATTAAATTCTTTAAAATTAAATATCAAATTATTTCCAAAAACAGCTTTTAGCGTTCCTGTTTTGTTGGTGCCTTAAGCATATGCAACGGCAAGATACTGGTGGTAATTACACTGAAAACAGCAGTCTCGAAATATATTCCTTACCTCCCTGAAAAGTATTAAGAACTGCCTCCTTTGCCATGAGACCATTATTGAACATTTCGATCAAAGATTCTATAGAAGAATCCTGATCAAAAGGGGGAAAAGCAGGACAGAATTTCAAATTCTCACGGAATCCACTCTTTCTGGAGCCACTGAGGCTGGATGAACCCCTAAAATAAATGCCCTGTGATAATCTTTAAAACTTAAACCAAAAATATCCCCTGAAATCTTCTTAAAACCAAACAACAGTTTAGCTTAACTAGTAAAGAATGTCTGCCTTGAGCACTGTGCTCTTTTAAGAACTATCCATATGGGATCAAACTGACAACAGCAACTTGAAAGAGTAGACAGGAAACTCAGGGGACAGTGACTTTATGCTAATGGGGGAGGAACAACTCAGAAAAAGAGAGTGAGAATGGCTGCACAACTTGAAAAATGTCATCAATGTCACCTAGTTGTATACGTGGAAATTGCTGAATTAGTGTACGTTCTCAACAATAAAAAATAAAATAAATTTTTTAAAAAAGTATTAGGCACGAGAAAGGGGCAAGGCGTCATCCAGCCACTCTTAATATACTGTTAGCAAAATGAACAAGGGCTCATTTTGTATAAGAGCTTCTTTTTTTAGCAGTAAAGTTAAGCAAGACTTAGCCAAAACTTCCCTTTTTTACAATGTACCTTTTTCCATTAAAAATACTTATTCAAACCAAATTTATCTCACCTGGGAAGAGACATTCTAATCAGACTGGCTCTTTGCTAAAAATATACCTGAGTCGTTTACGCTGCTATTCCTCTTGGCATAAGCGCTCCGAACCACCTGCTCATAAACCTGAGCGCCTATTGTTCTCATGTTGTCCCGGATCAGAATGCCTTGAGCTTGCATCATGAAGATGTAGGTGTTCACTGCAGAAAAGAGAAGGGAAGGGGGGAAAAGGGGTGAATTCAAAGGCAATCATGAAAAAAACAAAAGCAAACACAACTACGAGTTTCTTCATTTTTCTTTCTACCATTGCCATAACTCTTATGTTCCATATCGGGTTCACTGTTTTCAGAATACCAATATTCCTTGGGTAGCTGGTAAGGCTTAGGGAATTTCTGTGAATATTCAGTAGTTTTCAAAAAAAATCCATAAATTTAAAATTTATATTCCACTTGGTCTTTGAATACTCAATCTGTGTTCTAGCACTGTGGTTATCAAAAAGATCTTTATGAATCAATTCAAGTTTTTTTTTTTTTTTAAAAAAAAAAACAGGTCTCTGCTCTCTTTAAGTTCGCCTTCTAAACACTTGATGGCCTATACACAGAGAAAGAAAACCAGTGATTGCTCTGTCTACTGGAAACACTTCAATCTAGGTTTGGCCTTTGCAATCTTTTTGAAAGTGGTAGACTACATACAGCTCCAAGTATTCTTTGTGGGACTTGGAGAGAAAGAGGAGATAATGAAAGAATGAATGTCAGCAGTCCTTTCTACCCACTGATCCCCTAGCCCAGATGTCCAAAGCAATGTATGGGGAGGAGAAGGCAGCAATGGTCCAAGTGTCACTTAAAACATACTCTTAACAGATGATTATCTGCATTCCCATATATCCTGCTCCACTTTTTCCTAGGTCTTTCCTATCCAAAAATTCAAACAGAAGTTATCTTTTCACATACACACAATCCTATTTAAATGTATCAGTGAAGAAAATATGTTGTATTTGGCAATTTTGAAACAAGAAAATTATCATCTGTAAGTAAATGTATTTTACATGCATAATACAAAAAAAGTCCAAAATCAAATAAGTGTGTCCCTTCAAAGATTTTTTTCCCTACGCATATATGAAAATATGGGTCGGAATCAACTTGATGGCAATGGGTTTTATATGAAAATACACGTATGCTTTTTTTTTTTTTTTTTTAAACAGAAAATGTTATGTCCTTGTATAGGGTTCTGCAACTTGCTTTTTTTTTCCCCACTTAATATTGCATGGATATTTTTTCCTGTCAGTATATACAGACATTCTGTTTTTTAACAGCTGCATGATACTATTCCACCAAAATAATATTATTTAAATTTATTTCACCAGTCCTCTACTTATAGATATTTAGGTTGTTTCAATGTTTACTTCTATAAGTACGCTTTACTGACCAACTCTGTTCACGTGTAACACGATACTGCCAAACTGCTCTCCAGGAAGTCTACCATCAATTTATTTTCATTAATTTAACAAGGAGTTACTAAGTGCCTATCATAGACTAGGCCAGTTTCCCCACACTACTGCCAACACTATTATTAGATTTTTTGGGAGGGCGGGGGTCTTGAAAGCAATTTTTTGTAGAGATTTTTGGAGGGTGGGAGAGGGAAGCATGGCAGATGCCAGATAAATGCTCGTTAACCTTTAGTAGGTGAATTCATAGACTAACATAGACTAACCTAGCCATGTAATAAAATATGAACGCTCCCTTCTATTCCAAAACAAAATTTAATGCATTTCAAAAACAAAAAGTAAGCCTGGGTTAACTCTCCTACTGGGAAATAACAAAAGTTATAATAGGAAAACCAAAATCAAACCCAATGCTGTTGCGTCGATTCCAATTCATAGCAACCCTATAGGACAGAGCAGAACTGCCCCATAGGGTTTCCAAGGAGCGGCTGGTGGATTTGAACCGCTTTTGGTTAGCAGCCGATCTCTTAACCACTGTACCACCAGAGTCATTTTAAATTGTGTTTGAATAACTTTAAAGTTCCAAAAACAAGTAATAAATTAAATCATATTCTGCAAACAGATAAACCTATGAGACACAACAGTACAGACCCTTGCTGGAAACCCTCAGCCCCAGCTTTCCTCATCTGCTTCACCCTGATCTGTTCTTCCCTCCCTTTCCTCCTCAACACAACTTTCTAACCAAATTTGTCATCTCACTGCTTGCTAGACACTTAATTCAATCATGCAATTGTTCATGTTGCTTTCCCGTGTGGACTATACTCCAGTCTATGCAAACGGTATCCAGAAGCTTCTCCTTGCCACCTTTGCCTGCATCTACTCTTCTTTCTGGCACTCACTCACTGAAGGATCTGTACTGCCCCGTAGCTAGTTCATTCAAGAACAGCCCTGCCGCCTCCTCTGCATCCTCTGGGATTACAGGGAAGAATGCTAATGTTGTTTTACTCCCCTCAAAGGCACCCTGGGGGCACTCAGAACGTGTGAGGAATGACCTAGAAACTCTCAGGCCTCTCCTGTTCCCACCATCTCAATAACCACTAAAGGCAATGCCTTAAAATATCCTACTGAACATCTATGGAAAGTCTGGTTCTCACTTGTTTCCATTTTCCTATTTTCTTTGTTTCTATCCAACTTCTGCTACTCCTAACTAGCCTTTATCCATTTACAAGTCTTCCGGCATTTAAAATCTGTACCAATTTGGGTTGACACTGTAACATACAGTGTTTGAACAGAGATTCCATATTCATTTTTTAATATGAATAAATATCAAAGGAAGAGGTCAAAGTCACGTGCTTACTCAAGTGTCTGAGAATGTCTTCCTGTCATACACAATTCTTTACCAGATAAATCCACCCTCCCACCCCTCACCTCATCTTCAAGCCAGTGGAAGACCCCAAACTTAGGACTCAAACCCCGTCCTGTGGGAAAATACTGCCTCATGAGTATTTTCATCATCTTAGGAGAGTCATGTGCAGCTGGATTTTCCTGAAGTCTCTCTATGATATAAAACTAGAAGACCACAAACACCAAACCCAAAAACCCGTTGCTGTGTCGAGTCGATTCCGACTCATAGCGACCCTGTAGGATAGAGCAGAACTGCACCATAAGGTTTTCAAAGCTGTAATCTTTACAGAAGCAGACTGCCACATCTTTCTCCCTTGGAGCCACTGGGAGTGTCTCGGTGGTTTCAAATCTTTTGGTTAGCAGCCTCGAGCTTAACCATAAACCCAACAGAATACAGTTCCTATCTTTTGCTTGCCATCTCACATACTATGCCACCTAATGTCAACAAATTTTAAGGTTTAAAAACCTGTCGTCTTAACCAGCCAACTAATTTATTTACTTCGCCCTCATCCTTGTGAAAGGGGAACACTTTATAGGGGCAGCACATTTACAAATCTAAACTCTGCGCTGTGTGTGTGGGGGCTGGGGTGGGGGGGGTGTCACATCTTCTCAACACTTGGCCCCAGCTAGGGACATGACCTAGAGCCAGCCCTCAGGAGCAATACACATGGCCTGGGACTGGCAGTTCTGGCTCATCAACAAGACACGTTTTGTTGAAACTCTGCTTCATCATTATTATCACAGTGTCCTGCACATAACGGGCACGGATGACGCTTACAAGTCAACTTACTTTATTTCAAGAAGATTGTCTGGCGCCTTCACTGGTGACGGGGGTGGGGAGGGGACAAACCAATTGACACAACTCTCAGGGTTGAAAAACCCCGGGGGCCAACACTGAACAGGGGCACAGAATCTTTCCAGAGATTTGAAATCATCTCTAAGGTGTATCACAAGCCATGAAATAAAAAGTCAGTGGTCAGAATGCTTTCAGAAATGAGGGAGCAGTTTCACATCATGCCTAGCACTGACTGGAAGACAACCACACACTTCACTTCCAGCATGTCAGAGAAAAAATCAGACAGACTGTTTACTTTCTGTTAGCTGGAAAAAGTTGTTAAGGAAGAAAGGTAGTGTCAAATCCTAAAGAAAGTATAATTCTGTGAAACCTCTGAAATCAGGAGTTAAGAGTTCATTTTCTATTTCCAGCAGACAGCACAGAGCAGGCTCACGGTAGGAAGGCGTTCCATAAATATGTTAAACATAACATTTAAATTCTATCGAATATTAATCAAATGTCTAATTTGGTTCTATAGTGCTTTTATCGTTTGGGCTATATAATATATTCCCCCTGCCCTGAAATCTTCCTTCCATCCTCAACACACTATTAAACCAGTTGTCTTCAATAATATAAACGCGAATATTGAACATTGTGTGTAAAGCTTTTTGTCAGGCTACCTCCTCTCCCCGAATCTCACAATCTTTTCTCTCTGCTTTTTAATCTTACTTTCTACACTGCAAGTGACACTGTTGCTTAGTTCCTCCTTTAAATATACTCTCTCTTTCTCAGCTTCTGCAATACCCCTTCGGTTCTCCCCTTAGGATCCCAAATGTAGAATTCCTCTAGGGTGGTCGTTCTCAAACCTCTCCCTGCCCATTGCTGGATAGCTTGCTGAAGCCTGTTTACAAGGCCCCATCCCCAGATTCTGATTCAGAATGTCTGAGTGGGGCCCGTGAATTTGCACTTGTAACAAGCTCACAGGTGATACCAATGCTGCTGGTCCAAGGACCGCACTTTGAGAACCACTGCTCTAGGGAACTTCTGCTACATTAGTATTTACAATAATATACAAGAATAGTGACATTTATCAAGCACTTAATTACATACTTTTTAATCTCATTCAACACTCAGAATTACCCTAAAAGGCAAGTTGTTGTAGTTGAATGCCATCTAGTCGATTTCGACTCATAGTGACCCCATGTAACAGAGTAAAACTGCTCCATAGGGTTTTCTAGGCTGTAATCTTTATGGGAAGGAGCCCTGGTAGCACAGTGGTTAAGCGCTTGACTGCTAACCGAAAGGTCGGTGGCTGGAACCCACCAGCCACTCCACGGGAGAAAGATATGCCAGCCTGCTTTTGTAAAGATCACAGCCTTGGAGACTCTATGGGGCAGCTCTGTCCTACAGGGCCGCTGTGAGTTAGAATCGACCTGATGGCAACAGGTTTAGTCTTTAAAGGAGCAGACGGACAGGTCTTTCTCCCACAGAGCAGTCAAGGACTTAACCATTTGTACCACCGGGGCGCCTAAGTACTACTGTCCAATTTACAGCCAATTTCCAGGCATCGGTTCTCCAAT